ACAGTCGAAGGCACAGAGTACCATATTGTGATTCGGATACCACACAAAGGCATGTCGTGACAAAATACGAGGCTTGCAAAGAGGCTTTCAAAGATCCATATGCGAAATTCTATGCTACGTCCACACTTACTTAGTGTTTCTTTATCCATCGTACATTCGTAAGTTCATTCCTCTTCCAAAAAGACGTCATCACATGCTACATTGACGCTAGCAAGAGACTAAAATATGACTGACTGACATGGATCCACCTTCTACCTCGATGTTGACAGTCAAAATAGCAGGCAATGAGACAAATGCAATCAACCTGCCACCATCTAGACTGACTCCACAGCACCGTTTGGTGAGCAAGCCAGAGTCACTATTGCCACGAATTACACAGCCACAGTGAAAATGTGCACGGGGTTATTGCCACTGATGGCGAAGGACTCAAGGTGTGCCAACACAAATAACATGGTCATTGCTTGTACAGACTTGTTAATGTCGCTAGTACGATGGCTGCTATGATGTTGCTGTGCTCAATGTCAAAGGAGATGGCTGCCAAGTTTAAGAGTCACCTGTCCCTGCACGAGCTGGATGAACTCATGGCGTCTTTGAGTAAGCACATTTGGTCGTTGTGTAGTTTATTTTATTTCACCAACACATGCTGTCTTAAATGAGGATAATTGGTTACCTGCGTTGAAAGCAGTCATTGACGTCGATGATTATGTATAGTCGCTTTTATTACCTTAAAGCACGCAGAAGTGGGGGATCATGAGAAGGCGGGCTTTTCCAATTCCGCGTACGGTATGTCGAAAGTGGGCCTGTGGAGAGCCACCTCCATTCTGGCTGAAAAATTCAAATCTCATCCTCGTCACATTCTCATCAATTCGGTATACTTTTTCGGAGTTATGGGACATGATAAATTGTGGTAATCAAACACTTTTTTTCTATTCTCTAGTGTTGTCCTGGCTATGTTGACACAGACATGACAAATCACAAGGGTCATAAGACTGTCTTAGAAGGTACGTTTGGACGACGCTTGCTCTTGTCAGCAACTAGCTCTTGTTTGCTTTGCTGCAGTCCAATCATGGCAATGAAATGAGTTGAAGTTGAGTGAAGTGAGTTTTAAGGTGACCAGTGGTACTTCCTATAAACTCAAATTGTCCTGTCCTGAAATGACATTTGAATTCCGCGTTATCTTAGTGAAACCTGATCAATACTTTGCTCATCAGTAGAAGAAAGCCATGATGTTGCACAAAGTGTCTTCAGGTGATAGGGTCAGGATGCAGCATGAATGGCTGTGCCCTCTCAAAGATAAAGGTTCCGCTTGTACGTCCAGGTGCTGACACGCCGGTCTACCTTGCTACATTACCGAAGGATGCAACTGAGCCCTTCGGTCAGTTCGTCAATGAACGCCACGTTGCTGATGTGGACAAGGAGTGTCCACTCTGAGCCAAGCTAATACCACTAGCGAAACTAAATTCTAGTGTCAATTTGAAGAATGTTCTCATCACCCTCCTCTTTTTTAAAATTAAACATTGTTTGTCGTTGCCTCTTCTTTTCGTTGGAAACACCAGACCGAGAATATTGCTATCGCGGTTACGCGTATGACACGGCTACCAGTTAATGTCGTATTTGTTGTAGACATGCGCGTGAGCCATGGCAATGAAATAATGATGGTGCGTGTAGTCGGCATTTGTTGACAATCTGTTCATCACTTTGTCGGCTACAGTCAAAATTTAAGGCTTCTCGTATTAGTTCATGGGTAGGAAAGGTTAGGCGGCTGGAATCCCTTGCTGAATGCGTGGAGTTGGTCTTTCACTATGCACGAACCCCATATCGTACTTCACCTATAGGCTGGATGAGATCAGTCTGTGGGGATCAGCGGTCTCTAATTGCTACCACTGATTTGTTTTTTAACCTTCCTCCATCCTAATTATTGCCTCAATGCTATGTTTGTGGAGAGGTGAATATACAAAAGTGAGGCGACGAAACAGCTCCTCTTCTCCTTGGAGCAAAAGCAATATCCATGACAATGAGTTGTTGCAGAACCGCATCCAGGTTATTGCTATGGCCCTGATGGCTTTCAGTGGGCTCTGTGCGCCAACACTGGGCGTGTGATGGAACACGAACGCGGGTGAAGGGAGGAGTGTTTACTAGCCACCGCCTGAAGCATGACGCAAATATGAGTTACGATAATTTACATCCAAGTCGGTGCGGAAGTGTGATGTGAGACTGTGCATGATAGTTAGTCAAGTACTCTCAGTTGGAAGTTGATAAAAACCATCGGAATGAATGGGTTGTTAAGGGCGGCGGATGATGAAGGTTGGTGATGAGGTGAATTGTGTCGCCGTCTATCACAGTGTTTGGTCAAACTCCTGTGCATCAGTCATTTGGCAATTACCCTTATCCCTACTCGGTTGGAGGCATCAGCAAGCATCATGACCGCATGATCTCAGTTACCCCGGAGAGAGAATGCAACAATTCAAACTCGAGATGACCTTCATCTACACCCGTCTAAAATAATAGATATGAATAGATCTCTAGGACTTGCGGGTGTACTTCCAATGACAATCAATTAAAACAGTAATTAACACGAAGGAAAAGGAACATTATCGGAGCCTCCTATGAAGAGGCGCTGAGGGGAAGAACGAGTAAGGACGACGTGAGGTGAGGCGGTTGTTCCAGTGTCATGGTGTGCAAGCTTGGGTTGTGTAATTACGGTATCCCTAGGGGCAGGACGAATGCAATAAGCACAGTTCCCCATGTGGACTGTTTTGCCGTCCGATTTTTCTTCTCTCCGGGTAGTACGTCTAGGCTAGAGAGACTAAGTTACCACTCCAACCATCGGACTCAGTAAATAACAAAGGAAGTAAGTTTACTTTCGCCAATATTTCCTGATACCCTCGCTGCCAGTGGTGACGAACCCTGCAGACTGACCAAGCAGCAAATGGCAAAATTAAACCTGGGTACCCCAAAAGAGAGAGCCTCGAAGTCAGACTACAAGGGAGATTGTCATTCCAACATGATCAAAGCATTACTTCCACCTTGATTGATCTCGCTCAATGAGTAGACAAGTTCGTGTCAAATATTCGCACTCGTGGTGACCATTTAGGTACAAGTACAACATGAGTAGTTCAACGATGCGGTTACCACGAAACTAGGTCTTCCGCGTCCATATCAGTGAGGAGGAGACAGTCAACAAACGCCGGCTGCACCCGCTATTACTGTTTGGCAGCCAGGGTCACGCTCATGTCAGCTTCCAGTACGATCCTGTCTGCTGTTTCTAAAGCATAACTGCTCCATCAACATTCATTTTCGTTATGGAGGCAGTCCGTTGATTCATGTAAAAGAACAGGCGACGACTAGCAATTTTAATTTATGGGGAAGGCAGGGAGATGAGGTTAACCCCCAAACTTGCATTACGATTTGTTTTTCCTGATGGGAGTGATTTGGCCCAGTAGGGACACCCCTTGTTCTCATCGACAACTTGACGTTCGCTGATGAACTAACTGTAGGTCTCAGTTGCAAGATAGGTCGCCGTATGTCCACACACAGGGTCTGCTTCACTATGACCCCACTACCTGAAAGTACTTCGAGCCATATCGTGCCATTCCTCTACTGGTGGCTAAAATAGTGATCAGATTCCACTAAATTGACAGAACATTCAAAGCCCGTTTCAGAATAGGACAACTTAAGTGATTGTGTTAAGTTTTGTTAGACAAATTACACTTTAATTAACTTTGTTTCAATGCGCTTCAGTAATATTATAGGACAAGAGAAAGGAGATCATGAGATAACAGTGTACAAGAGCAATTGGTGTCCTGGCGTACCTTTCACGATGGTTTTACGGCTTTTGTGACTCGACATGTCTGTGTTCATGTGTCCCGGACAACACTTGAGAATAGCAAAAATGTTTAATCACCATAATTTCACCTTCTTGTCAAAAGTTGTGGCTCCGCATAGGTGAGGATCAGATTTGAATTGCTCGCCCAGAATGGCAGTGACTTTCCAAAGGTCAAATTTCGACATCCTGTAGGCGGAATTGGGAACACTCACCTCTGTGCAACACATGCCCTATCCGAAGAAACGAATGGGTATTTGGGATTTTAAACAGAAATGGAGGGTAGAATCCTACAATGTCGCAACAGAAAACGAAAAATCATTGCGTTTCATTTTAAAGACAGAGATCATAAAGCGAAATCGAAGACATGAGCAAAGATAATTTTGAAAACAACATCAAAACCTCTACATTAGTTCATTCCGATTTCGTCAGCAGACCCGCACTTCGTTGCACACCCACCAGCAGTCATACCTACCTACTCCTCCTCCCATCGTTCACTATAACTCCGACGAACTCCCACTCTCGCATCCTCATGCCCGTGTCCAACTCCGTTTGTGGTGGCATCTCTGCCGAACCCTAAGCTGGCTCACATCACCTCCTCCCGCATCCACTTGTCACTTCCGGCCACACATGTCCACTGTCAGCCACCAGTCGGGCGTACAGCAAGCTTTGAGCCTAAAGTCCCACATCTCAAGTGCCACGTCACCAATTTCGAGACTGCATCACCCTCTGGCCCATTATCATGCCTGTTGCTGTGCGGTCTGTAAATTCTACAAGACGGTAGGAGGCGAAAACATGGAACGAGCTAGATGGTGTGGTTGTAGGTTAGTTGTGAGGGGAGTATCGTCCCTCTTACTCCTCCCCTCCGTGTATGTGTGCACACGTACATTGTATGCATGCTACCACCGGAGGAGAAGAGCACACTCCCACACCTTCCTCCTTGCTGGTGTCGTTGTCCTGAATTTCACTGATGGGCTAATCCTTGAGGTGGAAGGGACTGAGAGAGCTCAGGGCTGCTCAAAGTTAACAGTCATCTTTCCATACGGAATCACCTTTGCCATCAAAGTTCCAGGTTTCACCCCGTTGACCGGAGTATCAGTGACGGGGACAATACACAGTTAAGTTAAGCAGTGATTACTCCATTGCATTTGACATAAATGAGCAAATAAGACGCTTTGAATTGACTTGCCCTTAAAGTAAAAAATAAATTTGGCAGTTTGGAGTTGGTAGCATACGACGCTACTGATTGGTGGAATGACTACCTTCTGCCATTTGTAGCAGCTCCATTCGGAAGGCGAATAATGTGGAAAATGGCTTTAACTTCTTGATTCTATTACTATTTTGACAGAAGTAATTAGCGTGAAAGGAAATGGGTGCTGAGTGCAAAAGGCCCTTATAGAAGAACTGGTTAAACTCATGTTGTCCGTCCTACTTAGATCTTTATCTCTCCATTCCTCTCGGCTCCTTTGCTCGAAAAGTTCCGCTAATGCTCTTTATCCCACATAATAATTACTACTTTAAATGGTGGCCATTGCAACCAGACACACAAGCCCAGGAGATTTATTCGCTCCCATCATACCAGACAGGCAGAAGATGGAGCTAACACCAAGTCTGAATGATAATAGTAAATGCCAGATGCTACACGCACTAGAGTAAGACCAAACACTATGATAGACGGCGCCATCCGTTGCCTCCCTACTACCCTTCATCATCCTCCACCCTAATTCCATCTATTCCGTCAAATTTTTATCACCTCCCAATCGGTAAGCCTTGACTAACAGTCGCATATCGCACTTCCGCACCGATGTGGATGTAAACTACCGCAACCTGTATTTGCATCATGGTTCACGCTGTGGATAGTAAACACTCCTCCCTTCACCCAAATTTGTGATCCATCACACACCCAGTGTTGGCGCCCGGAGCCTACTACAAGCCGTCAGGACTACGGCTAGGCCATAGCAATAACCTGGACGCGGTTTTGCAACAACTCATTGTCATGGATATTGCTTTTGCTCCAAGAAGAGGAACCGTTTCGTCGCCTCGCTTTTGTCTATTCACCTCTCCACAAACGTGGCATTGAAGCGAGAATTGGGATAAAAGAACACTAAAAGACAAATTAGCGGTACCAATTAGAGATGATTGACGTCCACAAAGCGATCTCACCTATCCCATTAGCGGAGTACGAAAAAGCACTCATGGAGTAAGTTCCGTCTACCTCCTGCCCGAAATGTTAAAATTGAATGAATCTCCGAGGTTTGTGCATCGCGTTACAATGATCGTTTGAAATAGCAATTATGATGAAGGAAAACGAAACACTACCAAAAGTTCTTGAGTGGATTTGCTGACTGGAACTGAGATAAAGAAAAGGACAGAAAGAACCACACGAGGTCGTCCGGTTCCCCAGAGTCGCGAAACACAAAACTATCATCTCCTTGGGACGGTCACCGGAAGAGGCCTCAAAATCAGCCTAAGGTAGATTTTGAAATCTCAATATTGTAATACCGCTAATCTAGGCCGTACCAACTGCTTACGGCTGCGGCGACCCGCTGATGATACATAATGGAGAGAGATTGACCTCACGAATTCACTGATGCACCTTAGTAAGCCAACCCTTCCTGGCTCTGAGCTAACATGAATAGCTCAAAATTATAATCACCACACAGATAAGCTCTCTGCAGCCGGCGCAGTGATTAGCAAACAATCAACCAACGCCGACTACGACCAGTAAGACACTAACTGGCGGCCGTGTCATACGCCTAAACTGAGGCAGCAACGTTCTTCTCTTTGCGCCTACTTGTTTCAATGACTCATAGAAAAGAAGACGCTAAAACATGCTAATTTTTTAAAAAAGGAGAGAGATTAGGAAATCTATAAATTTGGCTCTAAAATTTGGTTTTGCTGATGGGATTTGATTGGCTCAGAGCGGGCCCTCCTTGTCCACATCGACAACTTGACGTTCGCTGACGAGCTGACCGTAGGGCTCAGTCACACCCTTCGGCAAAGTCGCCAGATAGACCGGCGTGTCAGCGCCTAAATGCACACATGAAATCATTATCGCTGGTAGCGTGTGCCCAAAAATGAGCTCCCTTGAACCCGACCTTATTACCTAAAAGCGGTTCACGTAATATCATGGCATTCTTCTACTGATGGTCAAAATAGTGACTATGTGCACTAAGACAAGGCGACATCAAAAGGCCACTTCAAGACAGGAGGAAGGTAGCAGTCATGAGAAGCACTGGTAGTCAAACTAGACCTCACTTCACTTCATGCTATTTCAGTGGTATGATAATACAATCGATTTGGACTCGACTGCTAGTTGTTGACAGGAGCAAGCGTGGTCCAAACGTACCTTCTAAGATGGTCTTGGGACCCTTGTGACTTGTCGTGTTTGTGTCAACATAGCCGGGACAACACTAGCCAATAGGAAAAATGCTTGGTTACCGCAATTTCAACTTTTTGTCAAAATGCATAAATCAACAAAGGCATGCCAAAGTGATCAGAATGTGACGAGGATCAGATTGGAATTGTCCGGCTAGAATGGCAGTAGCCCTCCACAGACCGACTTTTGACATGGCGCAAGTGGAATTGGAAAAGCCCACCTTTTTGTGGTCTCCTGCTTCCGCGTGCCTGAAGGTAATCAAAGCGACTATACACAACCATTGGCGCCGGTTCAATTTGCAGCATAATGACGGCTTTGAATGGACATAACAGACTATCACTCTTTATGAGATCATAAATAAGTGAAACAAACTACGCTCAACTATAATATACTTAATGAAAGACGCTATCAGTTCATCCACTTCCTGCAAAGTCAAGCGACCCTTGAACTTGGCCGCCATTTCCTTCGACATTGCACGCAACGACATCATAGCAGCCATGCTAGCGACATTAACAAGTCTGAACAAGCAATGGACATGTTATTTGTGCTGGCGCACCTTGAGTCCTTCGCCATCAATGGCAAGAACCCCGTGCACATTTTCACTGTGGCTGTGTAATTCGTGGCAATAGTGACTCTGGCTTGCTCACCAAACGGTGCTGTGGAGTCAGTCTAGATGCCAGTATGCAAAATTATGTAAAAAATCCACTTTGTATGCAGTTCCAGCATTGTTTGCTAGAATATCTATTCCATCTGGATAGTTGGCTTTCATGAATTCCGCCAGTTTGTGTCGACTATCGGCATCTGTGATGTCAAGTTGGTGGAACTTCACGCTCAGGCGCCTGTCCTCAAGCACCTTTACGGCCTCCAAACCCAGCTTCTCGTTTTGTGCTGTCAAGCAGACGTGCCAGTGGGAAGCTGGCTTCAGGCCTTGAACCAGTAGCTCCACTATTCCATTTCCAATACCCTTGTTAGCGCCTGTAGCCTGCAACGCAAATGGAGAGAATGAAGTCCACTTCCTTAGGTTTATATAAGTAACACAAGAATGATGTGTGACAGACTCAGTGCACGAATCGCGCTGGATGTTTAGTACTCGTATTTAAGTATCGAAATACCGAACATACATTCGCATTACAGATAAATTTGTGTTTTTAGTCAACACCGATGATTCCCTATCTACTATTACCACCAAATCAAATTTTCAAGGAAACACAACTTGTTCCAGAATTTGGGAGCAGTCTATTCCAATCATAGCGAGACAATTCATCGAAATAACATTCCGAAATACAATGCATGTAATGTACTCTGTTTAATGCCAGTACTTTGTTCTTCATAAGCTTGACACTACTAAGGGAAAAATGGCGAGGGCTTTAACCATTAAATAACTTGCGAATGTTAGTAAAAAGGAGGTTCACACAACGAAATACACCTACAATAGCGACGTACATGCTCACCCACGACGTAAACGAAGTGCTACTCTGTGCCTTCTGGTCGGGTTTTGCAGCACCCACACGACCTTGACTGTTGATTGGGGGGGGGGGGGAATGCTCTCTGATAGCTGATTGGCTACTTGAAGCCTTAGTCTCGGATCAATTTTAGATAAGATAGCAAGAGGACACAGGGCTAAGTAACCACATGAAGGTAAGTGTTATCGACTGTTAGAGATCCACACAAATTATTGTAGCCAAAGCCCTCACCTAGAGACCAGCGAACAGCAAAAACCTTTCAAGTATGTTCGCAGCCTTTTCACGTAACTCGAAATACAGGCAAATGGTAGCTGTGGCTGAACGACCCTATGTCGTCCTTCCTATTCTCTTCTTTATCTCGCCGTTCCGCTGAGTTCACATAGTCAAATAGTTCCGTCAATGGACGGTTCCATACGTAATATTAATAATAATCTTAGTTTACGGTCATCGGAACCAGATACCGAAATGCAGCAAGGTTATTCACTTCCATTCCTTCAGCCGAGTCACAGTGGAAACTTAGCCTACGTTTTAATTCTGCTTCTCTGTTTACGGGATAGATAAAATCCTTTTGTTTAGCTAAACCATCATTTGAGCGGAGTAACTCGCATGGCATCCTCACTACATTCTCATCAACTCTCTCCAGAAACAACATGCCATCCTTTTTTTTCGAATCCTCTCTCTCACTGTAATTTCACTTCTTTGCACAACGATGACAAGGCGTTAAGACTATAGGACCAGCTTAGACAAAGCATCCATGTCTAATTTATGAAGAAATGTGCTGCCATGCCTGCCTCATTTTCATCATTTTGGCAGTATTCTATCAACAAGCAGTCATCTGAGTTAGCGTAATAGAAGCCTTACTTTACCGCGAAGCGCTTCTTTTGACCTTTAATGTGGCCTAAGCGATGGAATTATATAGGTACAGGCTTCAATTAGCGATCTATTTTAATTATATTAAGTACATTTGAGTCGTTGTTTTGACCACCAATTGGAGGGATGCTTGTTTGCTTGGGTGCGAAGGCGAGAGTGCGGGACTCAAAAACTAACCCTCTTTTTTCTCTTAATAATTGACTCGACAATGACACTGAACCCTGGACTCAAATTCTCAGGGACCGCGAAATAGTTCAGATGGAAGAAGGGCCTGTATCCCAATCACATATTGACATCTCACGTGACCCTTTCCCAAAGGATTTCATTCCCCGGTCGTGTCAAAACATCACCTTGTTTGCTGGACGGCAATAGCTCCCCGCCTTCGTGTTGCTCTCCCTGCATTAACTCATTTTTGTGCATCTGTTCACCTGGGATAATTAATTAATGGCATTTCGACCATTAAAATGATGGGCTGGTGAGTGGGCGCCATGCACCACATGCGACTTGGCGGACTGAAACAACGAGGCGTATGGACTCTAGGTTCAAAATGATGAAGGGAATAATGCTGATTATAATTGCTATTATTTTTTAAAAGAGCTTCACTTCAAAAACAAGTTCTATCTTGCCTATTTGTTACCAAGTCAGTGTGGCAGATAGCTGTCTTCGTAAATAAGTCACAATGGAGTGGAACCTGAGTAATTTGGCACTAGCTAAATGGGCGATCAATGGAGAAGAAGAATCGGTGGAATGGTACCGTACAAATCCACTTAATGCCGACTGAAACCAATTATACGCCGTTCCACACTCTTTTACCCTAATTTTGCCACACTGTTGTATTTATGAGAAGGTGGATGAGCATAAGTGAGACAAAGCCGAAACCCTTCTTCTGCATAGACTAGTATTTGCACCTGTGGTATCTATTAGGATAGTCGAACCATAAACCTAACTGCTTGGACGAGGCTCCGTGCGTCAACTCTAAGGTGTGGGTTGGAAAAGGAATGTGGGTGAAGGGACGTAAATAAGAGTTGTGGTGATTTTCATCCACATCAGTGCCGAAGTGCAATGTGAGGCTGTTCAATGGTTAGTCAGGGTCTACCAATTGAGAGGTAGCGAAACCTTTGGAACGAATAAGATTTGGAGAGCTAAGGATGGTAAAAGTTTGTCAGAAGTCCATTAAGCGGCGTAAATGGTCCTATCCCAGTGCTTCTAGCATCCAGCAATTATAATTTTTCTCAATAGTTACACCTGCTGCCTGGTGTAGGGACATCCTTATTGTATAATCTCAGTTATCACATAGGCAGAGTAAGAAAACCCAAACTTGGGGCCACATCCACCTTCCACCTCTGTGAATTGTAGTAATTGCAGTAGTAATTATCATAAATAAAACTAACCATTATCGGAACTTCTCAAACAGAGGACCTAAAGGGAATGGTGGGACAAAGAGAAGAATATGAAGGACGACATGATGTTGTCCACTTATTCATTTCCCTATACATACGTGTGCCTATCAACTAATTTTTTTGCGGGATGCCAGCAGACGTAAAGTCAGTCAGTAAGCCAGTGTGGCGCTCGATTACATCTCTGTTAGACAGGTGACAGTGCTGTCATCAATGCCATCAATGCACTGCACTCACTCAAGTAAGACCGACAACCTCTGCTCACTTCTCTTGTCATTGTCGCCTCCTTTCTCACGCTCTCTACCTCCGAACCACTCATGACATGAGGTCGTCCAGTTCTTCCAAATTCAGGGCTAGACGCTCTCACATCCATCTACCATCACCTTGGATACCGAGCTGATTCCAATAGCTACTACCATACTTGGACTGGTTTCCAATGTTTTTATTCTCCTGAAGGAGAGTTTCGCTATTAGCATTACTCTAGACAACTAACAGCCGGTGGCATTTGCGTTCCTTCTGGTGGCAACTGAGCCTTGTGTCCTCTTCCTACTGCTGCTTAAATTGGCACTTGCAGTCAAATTAGAGTTACTAACTGACAGTTTCTTCTTCGCTAGTATTCGAGTTACTACGGCTGTGTGGAGCATTGAGTTGTGCAATCACTGTGCTTTTAAGGAGCCACAGCAACTGTGATAACCACCGATTGCAATTGGCCTAGCGTACAGGTTAATCATTAACAAAGTTAATTATGGTTCATTTGTTATGTGTCCAATTTCGTGATCTGTCTGCATCATGAGTTTAGGCTAGTCGGACTAAGTTACTACGCCACCCATAGGACTTCATAAATAGCAAAGGAACTTAAAATTACTTTCTCGTGCTACTATCGGTGACAACACCGTGCCCTGAGCCAATTGAAAGTGACGAAGGTGGGGGTAGATCACCCACCAGACAAAGCTTCAAAGTCAGTCTAGAAATGAGTTTTGGATACCAACGTCTCCCAATCATCCATTTTACTCCGATAATTATCTTTGACCAAGTGGACCAACTTGTGTCAACCTTCTACTTCTAGTGACTTTTTAATGAGGCTTAAACAGGGTTTCAAATCTGTGAATGCACCAGCAAATTCTAGTGACCTAACTTTTCCCGCCCACGGACTAATAATATGCAGTTTAGAAATGCGGTCTTCACATAACTGGTTCTTCCTCTGCCAAGGTAGTGGTGAGCAAACAATCAACAAACGCCGACTGCACTCACCATCACTACTTCATGGCCATCACCTGCACGCGTGTCTGCGAGTAGTATGTCACTAACTGGTGCCCGTTTCATACGCATAACTGCTTTGACGGCATTCTTCACTTCATAGACGCTTGGTCTAGTGAATCATAAAAAGGAAGAGAGAGCGTCTAGCAAATTTGCCTTTTTAAAAAATGCGTAGGGATGAGGTCATTCTCAAATTTAGCACTGGAACTTGTGTCCACTGATGTTGTTGCGTTGACTCGAAGCAAACGTGTCTTGTCCGCATCGACAACTTAGCTTTCGCCGCCGAAATGATCGTAGGGCTCAATTGCACCTCCGGGTACAGTTGCAAGTTATGCTGGGATGTCGGTTTCTAAAGGCATAAGCAAAATCAGCTCCTATGGATAGACTATCCCTACTCATCACAAAGTAATAGGTGCAGTAAGGAAAAACACTCTCGAGCTAACTGCACCAGTCATCAAAATTGCCACTTAATTAGGAAGATACTTGATTGCATCTTTGCTGCTCCCTCTCGGCATTTCCATCAGATCTGGAGTTTTAACCTGTATAAGAAGTGGATTTGAAGAAAGGAGGATGTGCGAGCCATTACGCATGTCCATAGTTAGTGGTAGGAATACTAGCCTGAATGTAGAGGCTCGTAACATAGAACGGCATATAGCATTGCCCCATGAGGGTGGGATTGTGCTCCAATTCCTTCTATTTACTTTGTTCTCACTTCAAAGCTGTCTACTCATTTCTATCTCAGTTCTATTTGGCCAGTAGATAAGTGGAGGAGGAGGTATCGCGTGCTCTCTTAGTTGACAACTTCAAACAGGTTCCGTAGGCAACTCTTTAAAGGACTTTTCCAATTATTTTATGGCTGATATCTCAGGCTTCATTTGCTACCAACATTAGTACAGCACATTGGACCGATGTAGTAACTGAAGTTAGATATAACGTTCAACCCTTCTGTTAAGAGTCGTCATGGCCTCTTCCATCCGCAGTATATGCCCTTTTTCCGTCATGTCAAGGTTTAGCGCCCAGCAATTGACAAGTAATAGGGCTTAGGAACTACCGACATGATCTGGACACCAACCCACCCGACTCTTTTATCAAAACCGGGAGTTAAGCAATCAAGTTGTTTCATTAGCTTATGTAAGGTAGTAAAATTAGTTGCATACGAGTTTCTTCAAGCTGACTACAAGTCCCGAAAATTCAACATTTGTGGAAGTAAGAAGTCCACTCCTGCCACGAAGAAAGCAATTGCAATCACTTGACAGAATATGACCAAAGAAATATGAAGACTGGAGCTTTTCCCCACCTCATTGCGCCTAACCTCAGTACAAATTGAAAATCTTCTAATAGGTAATGTTTGCAGAATGAGTTTTTCCGTCGTTACATAGAAAGGGGGCTTTTATCCAAGTGGCTGATCAGTTCTTGCTGTTTCTACAAAAGTTCCCTCTCTACAATCCCAAGTTGTCTCAGGTGGATAGGCCTCAGCCACATGTGGATGTCCCTTGGCAAGAAAGTCACGAGAAACAATTTTGTCTGCAATGTACTGCACACCACATAATCTGAAAAATCCACTTGTCAAGTAGAGTGACAGGGTGAAGTTGGCTGGTGTAATGCATCTGCTCATAGAAGCCGTATCAAAAATGACGTTTATTTCAGCTCAAAACCCAACCACATGGGGTCCCACACCCTTTCCCCTTCCATACAAATTGTTAGCCTAGCTTGAAAATTGGGAGATATAAACAAGCCAGTAAACAGACATGTCAACAGGTCTCACTTGATCCTTCAGCCGACCAGTGAGTCCACCCAACCTCCACTGCTTATGCCAGCTGTTCTAGCCTTTCATTAGGTTGGAAAATTAAGGGAATGCTTAACGCTTAGCTTGTCATATAGTAGTGATTCTCATCTAGTCGACTGGTCACGGTGATCAAGCGGTGAAAACTCGTCAAGCGTAGGATCGCTGTAGCATCCATCAAGTTGACATGGCGGATAGGGACGTAGCCAAAATGCACGCTTGCTTTGTGAGCTTGAAACCAGCTTTTGAAGTAGGCACGATGAGACCTTATCCATGGGTGGTGGAGGCTTCTTCTTCACCTTTCCAAAAATGTCACCTTTTGACAACAGTGAGGTGCATTCAACCATCTCTCCTGTTATTTGCAGCTTTGCAAAGTAGTTTTTAACTGGACATTAAGTAAATAAAAATACAAAAGTAATATCAAACACTGGAAAAATGGCTTTGAAGCTAGATCTGTTTCAAGGTGGTACCGACCGCCATGCAATATGACCGTGTAGAAGAACGCACAACTGCAGAATTTACAAGTGGATGCAACAGAAGTCGGGATGGAGTGAGAAACTAACTTCCGGATGGGATTAAGTACGATTGTAGAAATTGAGAGGTAAGGTGACTTGGGAAATGAATGCGGGTGGGTGTTTGAAGAAGGCTTCAGGTCTCCTTTATCACTTATCTGATGCATTTGAGGGCGTCTCAAATTCTTTTCACCACAAATGATTGGAACAGCCTTTGGAACAGGGCTTTGACAACTCGACACCACAGTCTACAACCTGATATGTGATTAACCCTGATGCCTCACTGATTCGGTGACGTGTCAGCGTGAATTATGCCACCCGATCCCCCTCAGGCAGACCCAGGAGGTCGAAATACCCTCCAGGAGCCCAACACGATCTGAGATGATTGGGGAGACACTCACAACATTGCGATTATACAAATTGTTGTCTTTGATATGGGCCCGAAAATTTGGACCTGCAGGCTCCAAAAAGCCAAACGACTCTGTCTAAGGGAAGTCTAAGGCTTGCAATACCTACTTTGTTGTCAAGCTTATAGGCACCTATTCCTTCACCCACTCAAATCCATTCTGTTAATTTTGGCATTGTCATTTTATTCTCTGATGAGTAGACTGCAGACGCCTTTTGATGGAGAATGACGGAAGTCCCGCCTACTGTTATTGCTTAATTCCACCCCTCCTCTCCCTTTCTCCATGACCCAATCTTAGAGGCACGTCTACAGGCATCTTGAACTCAATTCACGGTTTTGGATATCATTTGTGTGTCACAGTTAAGGAAGGGGGATGAGTTGTCGAGGTCATGACAATCGTAAGCGCCAATCACGTAACCATGAGTCCCTTGGCACCTCTTCGCATTGGTTAATGGGGCCTATATGATAGATGGACTAGAAAGCGAATATCTTCAAGTGAGAATATATAAGTAATGGCTTCTGTGCAGGAAAACTGCGGTGAGTTCACTTATTTTTCCCATCTCTAATGTTTATTGTTTTTGTGTCTACACGCCATGGCAATCTTTAAGTTTTAGGTGACCAAACTTCGATGCATTTGTGTTGGCACATTTAGAAGCTTTTTAATTTGACCAAGCTTTATTGAACTAAAACTGAAATGAGATTTTCTGCTTTTACAAGTACTTAGTACTTTGAAACGTTTGAAAGACACCCGATGGTTTGATGCTCTTTTCTACATGGCAACAAATTTCATGCTGTGTGACAGCTTGACAGTCCCATTGATAGCGTGAACTAACCACATTTGCTTGGTGGTGCTCTTACGGATTTCTATGGTAATGACGTCGATTCTGAAATTATCATGTTGTTATAGGGTGCTCACCTGGCGTTCCCCATTCCGACTATTAGACTGCCTAACTGTGGCATCAACTGCTTCGTGAGTGTACTTCTTCAATGCCTTCTGGTAACAGAACCGCTGCTGTCTTGCCTTCATCAACAACACAGCAATTCTGACTCTTGTGCTACTGCCGAGATCCAGATACTTTGAGGTTTGTGAGCACTTCAACGCCCGTGGAAGGTGTGAGATGCAGCAAGAAACCTTTTGAACAAAAGTGTAGAAGGCGAACTTGTCTACTCTATGTCGAGTGAATTTGATTTGACCGGAAGTGATAAGTAGACACTGACGTGAAGGAGTAAATTTTGCGGTAGCATTTGTTTCCTTGCAGCTGTCGCCGACTCTGCAATTTGATCTTTATGAAGACGCTCACAAGTGTCTTCTGGTTTTGCTCAAGCACATTGAGTAGAATACTGAAATGGGACCAGTGGTGAACTTGCCCACTTCATCTGCCAATTGCATGATTGGAAGGCTTTTCGGTGATGAGACAGCTATCAAGGCTAGGTTAGACGCTTTGTTGACAGTGGAATGCAGAGGTCATGACACAATATTCAAGCAGTGTAGCGAAAGAACTTGTGAAACACACTTCTCCCTGCTTTACACTATAGGAGAGCCTGACACGTAACACGGAAGAGGAAGTGTTTCAGGAGGCAAACGAATGCTCGTATAGTGCCTGTCAGTACTTACGCTCTACCAGCAGGCTCCCTCGCATCCATCTAGCACCTCCCATTTTGACTTGCCAATTGAATAGGTTAGTGGACAAACTACCACTTCTATTTTGCTTATCGAGAACCCTTCACCTTAGATTCGCACTGCATTGCTGGTGCAGTGAGCTACAAACATTGCCTCGGTGGACCTGGTTTAATTGGGTAAGAGAAAGTTAGGCTAATCCGCTCACAAGCTGGGACGGATATAAGAGGAGCGAAAGGATAGAGTACTTACAAAGTAGGGGGAACAAACAATCTGTCAACGTGAGATGGGCGGTGATTTGCTACTGACATCTTGTTCTCTGCTTTCGCCAGAAGTGGTCAAGGAACTGAGGAGTTAGATAATCGTAAGGTCTTTCACACAGCACTGATTCCGGCGGTTTGCAAGTGGAGAATCACTTCTATGTCACCATTAATCACAGAGTCTGGGACTCATCATTTAGATATCATGCGGCCTTCACCAGACGTAGGCACAATCAGTGATACTGTTACAACGATGGCACCGTAAACCAGCCAAATTATCCTCTTTTTTTGTTTTAAAGAGCATGAGCTGATATTTGCTTAATTTGCATACTTGCAATCCAATTAGACAACTCAAGAGAAACTGCGCCAATTTCATCCACAAACACCTTATATGCTGCTTCATTAAAACGTAAGGTGTGTTGCTCCCTTTTCCTGCTGTTAGGGCGACGGATACTATGACCAACGCATTTCTAATTGCTTGTAAGGTAACAAAAGTTCGAACACTTGAACATTAGAGGTGGTAAAAGGACATAACAAAAACCCAGACACTCTTGCCAACTCTCCTCGAACGTTTCCTGTCTACATATTTTAGAACCTCTTGAAAGGGGTGTTTTAGAATTCTGCATCCCCTGCCTGTGCAAAAGGGAAAGCCAGTTGGGCATTCATGGTATCTGTAAAGATTGTCTAGGCTGGAGGTGATGGAGTGGGCCCATGGCACAGCTGGATACTGAGATTCGATTCTTCATTCCCAAACTGTTTGTGATTGATGGGAACATTTCACCTCACCATGAACAATATTTCTGCATCTATATGCCCCTAATTGTAGAGTTACTACCAAATCTAGGGGTGAGATTTTCCAGAAGATAGTTAGGTAACATCAGTGTAGCCCATAAAAACAATCAAGACTAGTTGAAGCAGAAACTGTCAAGTTATACCCTTATCCTGAGAAGGTAGATGACAGCAGATTGTCTCTTGTTTCCCAGCCTACATAGAATATCTTGACTAGGTTGAGGGGAGGGTGGTATCTCAGAAACAGGTCGTAAATCGTGTAGAAGTTCCTTGATTGTGTCGGCAGTGTGGAAGGAAAAGAAAGCCTATCGGTGGAAGGTAGAGAGGTCTTGCGTGCTGGTAGGGACATCACCACCTTAACTGATCGTCGTCGTCGCCTTTGTCGTAGTTCCGTCAGTTTGCGATATCGAAAAGTCAGGGGATAGACCCTGCCTCTTGAGACTTTCCACATCTTACAACTAACTACATTGAAATTCATACAGGCAGGTCAACTGCTACGCCGCTTCATAGTTCTCCTCTTAGCAATTCCTCCTCATAAGTTATTTGGTCTCTCTTTCCTATCTTCTCTCCTCCCATACAGGAAACATACACATCCAACATGCCGTTCTTGCAAAAGTAGGGACTAAACAATTCGTGAAACTTCTCACTGGCTCTGTGTGCTAACTTTACATCGCCACTATTTCACTCCCAAGCGTAATGCGTGTTTAACGAATTCTTGGCACCAAAGTGAGCAAGGAATTCAGGCGATTAATCTCACTGAATCACTTTGTTGAGGCACTTGGGTGTTTGCAGCTTTCGAACAAGAGTTATTAGTGCCCACAGAATGCAGAAAGGCTAATTCGACGACACGACTAATCGAGAAGGATGCAGTTGAGTCTAATTTTGGCAGTAGTGACAAAATTGGCGACGAGGCGCAATTTTAGTTTGAATAGCCGTGTCTGTGTGGCGTGATACAATACCTTAAGTGTTTTATTGTCTATTGCTCATTTCTTTTCTCCTGTCATACCAAATTTAAGCTGGAGAAGGGTTGAATTTAGGAAATACATCGGAGAGATTGTGGTTATTACAGTAGATTATAGATCTGATGTCCCTGTATGCCACAGAAAAGAACACTTTGCCTCAGGTTTCTGAATGTCAGGCATGATTTACTTCGCCTTGGTAACAACGAATTAGAGTTCAAGCCCTACACCTTGTCAAAACTGGCAAGCCACTCACTTTATTTGTACACCTATAACATTGTGGGGTAATTTAGTCTCACAAATCTTGTTTGAAAGCGAATTACTCCAAAAGTAGACTCTTGACTCCCCTTCCCCATTCGCTGAAACTTTCTGTCGCCATTCCTTGCTAGCCGGTGGGTGCAACTGTCTTACAGGTAGCTAAAACAAACGAAGGAAGGAACGGATGAATGAATGGACGAAGGAAGAAAAAAATGAAGACAGAAGGGAATGAAGTAAGGTGCTAAAAGTAAACCTCAAGAATTTGATGGAAATTTATGTCTTGGTGATAGCAAATGCCTTCATTTCCTACTTCTTGGCACATTGCAGGATAAACCAAGCGCACTCACTAGCTTATGCCACCATCCTTAAGACGCCATGGATGCAGAGAGTGACCACCTACTAACAGTGCATCAGTAGGCGCGTGGAATAAGGAAGGGGCACGCTTTCATTCATTGCTTTGGCAGGGTTGTAGTAGTAGTCAGCTGAACACTGGTGTTTTGATGGTTTACAATTCAATGGTGGCTGGTGCACAGAAGGGAAGTGCTTCCTATTATTAGTTGGCCCCAGGGGTGCGACTTCACTGAGGCATCTACGACATCCAGGTTAGTGACAAGTCTTTGCCCTATCAGCAATTACTGAAGAGCACTGAGCAAACACGCCGACAAGCAGATGTATTTGTCTGATCATCGTGCAATTGTCTGCTCCAACGATTCAACACAGAAGTGAAGGAAACTCGGCTCACAAGTGCGACTGGTGCAAATGGTGTCATTTTGGCTGACAAAACACGCAATCCATAGTGTGCCCACATTTTCAACGTCAGAAGTCGAGCGGAATTACCTCTTGGCTACAGGCAGGCATCATTGTTATAGATTGTGCCTTTTTGATGGAAAAATAACCCATAGATTCAAGTTACTGATTTACATCTCTCCTCTTCTCCTTTGTTCCCTCAACTGCAACTAGATCCATCGTCGGCCAAATGGATCTGAATTAGCTCATGAGGGATTACTGACTAATCTGGAAACGTCTCTAAAGCACCAACCTCCCAATTCAAACATCTTACAGCATAATATTTGCCTATCATCTGACATCACTTGTCAAGTAAACTAGGGGCGATTGTTATCATGATAATGCTAAATGCTTTTAACCAAATTCTTACATCTGAATGCATCCCATGATTTCGTTTTAGATCACTAGGTTTTTGGTTAAGCACACAATGCCAACAGGCGTTACCAGCCTCCCTCAGCGTTGATAGTCCGTAGAATTGCATTTTGCTCATCCTGCAAGCAGTTTGTGCGTGCATATGAAGGGCTCATTTCCTCAAATGTATGATGTGCAGAGATCTAGACATGAACAAGCACATTAGCAAATCAACCGAGGGAACCTCACATCGCCTAGTAATGGCGACTGTCGCCCTGAGAACCCAATTTTGGTAATGATAATTGTAGTGGCGTAGTCAATAGTAGGATTTAGGCAAGACCTTTCCTGGGGCTTCCGGCAAATGAGTCTTGCGTGACAGATGCAAGTCTGCAACTCCAATCCAAAACAAATTCCGGCAGCTCTAGTTCCTGGAGTACAAAACAGTGCTGGTGTTTAAATCCGCTTCGCTCTAAATCTCAATTCCACCTTTATCAGGAGGGTCAAAGGACAATTTAGGACTGTTGAGAACCCTTCGAGCACCCTCCCTGGTGTCATTTAGTACCCTACTTTAGCCAGAATGTCATACAGAAACTGGGTAGGCAGATGTAATACATACGCTAATGTTGCTGCATTTGAGAACATCAGCATCACTCACCTACCTTCGCTTATATGATAAAGTAAGATCCAGTTCTCTTTAATGTGGTTCCAACAATCAGAGTACTAGGTATCTTTTCAAATCCAAGGTTGATAGGGCATGCCCAAAACAGATGGCTCGAGCACGTCGGTCGGAGGGGTAGGATGGTGCATCAGGGCCTCTGGCGATAGCCTGCAATTTTGTGGTCTCAGTTACACTACTGAGATGTAAGACATTCACCACTGCTGTGGGGAGTGGAGAAACCTTCAACTATTACCAAGGCCTACAAAGACGGCCGCGATTTGTGGTACACATTCATCTATGGAATATTCGTACATAATTGCGTTTGCAGTAAACCAAATTTCGTCCGAATTTTCCAATGTTATTCCCTTTGTCAATACATCCATGGCAGTAGGCTTTCTTGCTTCTCACATAATCAACACACCAGGTGACCAACTGGCAGAACTCTCCACTCTCTCTACAAATATGTTTTAGCCGATTACTTCCACATCCTATGTTCTTTATTGCTGCCAATTTCTATTTTAATAATAAAATTGGCCCAAACTTTTGGATGGATTCTTTTAATGCCGGGATCATTTCAAAAATCTAATAAATGGTGAATTTTAACTTACGTCCACTGCTTGAGTTATACTAAAGCATTACCTTAGCAACACTAAACAACGAAATTAACAACGATTTTAAGATAGGGCCAAATAAACCTACTAGACATAAATCTAAGCTCTTGATTAGGTTAATTAACGTGTCCAATTCAGAAATAATTAACTTTATATTACAACATTAACAACAGACACTTTCACTTATGGTTCCCAGCTTATAAACCCAGCTTCCGCGAATTAGAACCTAGCTAGACTCGGTCCAACCTTCTGTAAATCGAGGTTTCAAATAGAGATGGAATAGGGCGCCGTACCGGCGGACTAGACTGTATCGATACCCTACAGCAAATCCTGCAAAATATCGCACCCACTTAGCAAGTCTTAACAAGTTATAGGTCACTGCAGTGACCCGTGTTGGGATCTTAATGCACCTTCTTTGTTGACCTGATGCACACATGGCCAATAAATTTTTATTTATTCCTCATTTAGCGTAGTTTTTTCTCTTCCCAAGGTGATCAAGCAAAGGTCACCAATGTGCGTTAACTATAGAGGTAAAGTAAACAGGTGTTCACCGTACACATAGACCTTCCGCCACCGACACAGTGCCAAGCAAATAATCAACAAAACAATAACAACAAGCAATTTCAATTCCTACGAAAGGCAGGGAGATAAAAGTATTCCCAAATTGGGCATAAAAGTTGTTCGCTGATTGGATTGGATTCACTCAGAGTGGGTACACCTTATCCATGTCGACAACTTGGCGTTCCCTGACGAACTGACCGTGGGGCTCAGTTGCACCCTTTGGTAAAGTCGCCAGATAGACCGGCGTGTCGGCGCCTTAATGTACAAGCGGAATTAACATTTCACCCATGGTCTCTGCTTCACTGTGACCTCATTACCTGAAAGTACTTCTTACAATATCGTGACATTCCTATACTGGTGGTTAAAGTAGTGATCAGTTTTCAAAGGCCATTTTAAGACGCGACAAATAAGTTGATTATAATAAGTGTTTTTATTCAAATTAAACTTCAAACTACTTCATTTCAAGGCACTTCATTGGTAATATGATAAAAGAGGGAAGAAATCAAGAGCCAGTAGCGGACAAAACCACATGCGGTACAAACATACCTTCTAAGATGGTCTTAGGGCCCTTGTGATTTGTCATGTCTGTGTTAACGTATCCGGGAGAACACTGATCAATGGAAAATATGTTTAATCACCTTAATGGCAACTTTTTATCAAAATGAGTAACCCCAGCAAAACATACCGAGTTGATGAGAATGTGACGAGGATCAGATTTGAATTGTTCGGCCAGAATGGCAGTGGCTTTCCACAGGCCCACTTTTGACATCCCGTATGGAGAATTAGAAAAGCCCACCTTTTTGTGGTCTCCTGCTTCCGCATGCCTAAAGGTAATCAAAGTGACCATGCACAATCATCGACAACAGTTCAATTTGGGGCAAAGTGACTATTTCCAATGGACGCAACAAGTTATCCCTCTTCATGGAAGTATATATAGAGAAAATAAAGTAAAATTTAACACATTACAACGTGCTTAACGAAAGATGCCATGAGTTCATCCAGCTCCTGCAGAGTCAAATGACCCTTGAACTTGGCCACCATTTCCTTCGACATTGTGCCCAGAGACATGAAATCAACTGTACTAGCGACATTAACAAGTCTATAAAAGCAATGGCGATGCTATTTGCCTTCGCATACCTTGAGTCCTTCGCCATCAATGGCAAGAACTCCGTGCACATTTTCACTGTGGCCGTGTAATTCGTCGCAACAGTAACTCTGGCTTGCTCACCAAATGGCGTTGTGGAGTCAAGCTAAATGCCAATGGGCGAACTCGTGTGAGCACCCACCTTATATGCGATTCCAGCATTGTTTACCAGAATATCGATGCCATCCACATAGTTGGCTCTGACGAATTTGGCCAGTTTGTGGCGACTATCAGCATCTGTGATGTCAAGTTGGTGGAACTTCACGCCCAGGCCCTTGCCTTCAAATGCATTCACGGCCTCCAAACCCAGCTTCTCGTTCCGAGCAGTCAAATAGATGTGCCAGTTGAAAACTGGCTTTAAGCCTCGAGCCAGTAGCTCCACAATCCCATTACCAATGCCCTTATTAGCGCCTGTAACCTGCAACAGACATGGCGAAAATGCAGTTGAATTCCATGATTTATGAAAGCAACACAAGAACGATGCATGGCAAACTAGGTGCGCAAATCACACCAAATGTTTAATGCTCGAATTTGGCTGTCGAAATTATCGAAATTACCTCCTTTAACAGATAAATTTGCGTTTTTATTCAATGCCAATATTGATCTTTCAATGTTAGGTAAACCGAATTCCAAAACGATATTTATCTGGTATCAGGGCTTTAAAATAATCTACTCAAACCAAGATGAACCAAGTCACCCTAATAACACTTTTAAATATGATTTAATTTTTTGGCTTTCGAGCTAGTAATTTGTTCTGCACAAGTCTAAGACTAATACAAGAGCAAATATTAGATGCATCGATTAGAAAAATTTCCCGAAAATTAATGAAAGGGGAGTATTGCACGATGCAATTAACCTACAATGGCGATTCGCATGGCCGTCCACTATGGAAACGAAGTGCAGTTCTGCATTTGTGTTGCAGCTTTCTACACGTGCACGACCTTGACTGCCGATTGGGGGATGCCCTCTGCTAGCTGATTGGCTATTTGAAACTAAAATCGTTTGAGTTCTTCACGAGGTAGGGAGACGTGCTACCGGTATGAAAGATGGTCCATTGGTGCCCAAACGTGTCTGAAGGCATGGTAGAAGGTTCATGTAGCCAGAATAAAGTGTAGTCAAAGGAAGACGTTGAAGGTGTGTCCGTTTTAACGTGATCAATGGGACGATTCAAATCTTTGCCGGGTGATGTCGGCATCTCGATCTCTCCCCTAGGTTGACTTCGAGTCCTCCTCCGGTAGGGCCTACAAACTCACTTTTGTTGCCCATTTCTGGGTCAGTGTACAGAGCTATCGCCTTCGGTAGCGAAGGGCACGGTTAATGTTTACGTGGGAAATCCTAATTTCCTTACCATTTCTGATACTCCGTAGTTGGAAGGAGAACTTAGTCCCACTAGCCTAGACGTATGACGTGGACAGGTCGCGAAATCGTGCACGAACATTTCAGAGGGGAAAACCACGTTTACCACATTTGTCACTGCTCTCTCCAATGAGTATGAAAGCGGCGGTGAAACATGTTGAAGCCAAGTCCGTTACATAGGCACGAACTAGGCGATCTGCGGATACATATTCAAAAATCTGGTGTTTGGAGCAGGCTCATACCCTGGCTTAGTAACCTCCACCTCTGTGAACTCACGAAGATAAGAACCGCCATGCTGCAACGTCTCGAGACTCCCTGAAGACGAAAGAAGACACAATACTCGGGTAGAATATATATGTTCAGCACGGAGAAGGTGTCTGGGCTATTCGCATGGCCCCAAAGGCCAGCCCACCTAGCGAGGTACAAGGGGGCTAATTTAAAGCACAAAAGTGGCGCCTCACCAGAACGGAGGGATAAACCACTATCGTATTACAATGCTGTGTTAGTGTTTGAATAGGAAATAGCCGAGACTGTTGTATGGTTATTTCATTGTAAAACAATAGCTTTAATATTTTCAGAGTTTCATGAAAAATTACAGCCGGAAATGCTTTGCAAACCAATTCTCTGATATTCGGTATATGAAAATCTCATTTCAGTCTCATGGGTAGTGGTTGGTAGCGGTAGGCATTAACATCAAGGGCTGAAATGAGCTCCGACCTCATACAACCCCTATCTCCTGTGCTCTTCTACAGCCTTTATCCAGTGTAACTTGTCCTTCTCCAACGAATCTGGTTGTTACAAGAGTGTGGAAGCCGAGGTGGAAGAAAGAAATGGTGAACCTCCCGTATACGTTTACTGCCACCTTCAAAAATAGTGTCTTTTAACTTCTCATTTAAAGGTCAACTAATTAATCGAATTAATCTGTCCTATCTAAGCGCTACTAAGTATGCATTTATTAGTAAAGCCAGTGTGAAGTAACCTGGAGCAGGATGATGGATTTATTACTTAAGAAAGATGTGGGGAAAAATAGGGCTTTTTATCTGATTGGATCAGAGAATTTAAACCTGTAGAACACGTAACTCTGCAAACTAAAGGCACATTGGAATCTCTGTCAAGTAAAAACAAGTTTTGTTAAATCTCAGCTGAACACTTTACTTGTCCTCTAGATGGGCGATTGTGATTAGCTGCGTACCTCCAAAGTGAGTGGTGGATAACCTATTGGTACACACGATAAAGGTCACACACGAGTGTTTTGACCGCGTGCAGCTGCGAGTCTTCCTGCTGCGCGCAATGAAAGTCGCTATTGTACGTAACGCGGCATCGCCTTTTGTATATATTTCGTGCCATATTTCATTGCGATTGACGTTTATTTAAGGTTTTCCACCCGTTTGTATACATAGAACTTTCTGAAATAGGCTTTAAGATCACCCCCATATTCTGTACTCCTAAATCTGACTAGTTTCTGGTCCAACAATTGAAATTGTCCACATTCTTAAGTAAATCTTCTTGAGGCCGGGATCATTTCATAGATGCAATGGAAAATCCCAATTTAGTATGCTTCTGCACTCTAGATTGTGCTAAATCCAAACCTTAGCAGTACTAGGCAACATGATTAACGGCGGTTTTAAGATAGGGCTAAGTAAACGATGGAGGCATGCATTGGAATTTTTGACTAAGTACAGCAAAGTGACTAATTCGAGGAGGGTTTTCCCTATTTTTGAACATTAGTAACGGGCACTTCCTTATACATAGTTTTCAGCTAATAATTGCATAGTTTGGTAGTTAACGGAAACTGGTCATTTCCTCCCATTTCCTATCGCAAATCAGGAATAATAAGTATACATGGGGAAAGTTCGCACTCTAATTTAACAAAACTAGTGGATTCAAGTGGACGTCTTGTGACGAAACCAATACTGTTGACCTAAAAGGTTCTCACGAATTGTCAAGAGGGAATTGTCTTTTCGAAAAATGAAATTTATTTGCCATCTGATGAAGAACGTAAATTTTTACTTTGAAATAGCTTTATAGGAGCGTGTCAATCTAACGGACTTGATAGGTAACTGTTCTACTCGAAACACACACACACTTCTTGTGTGGTTTTCACATCATCATTCAGCAGTGATTGAGTGCCCAATAAAAGCAACTCAATTGATAACAAGTGCAATTATTTAGTCGGCTTAACCTCTATTTATTAAACTGATGATGGAATGGGAAAAATCCAGGAAGGTTATAACGCTTGATATGGATTGTAGGTTACAGGAGCCAATCGGGGAATCGGAAAGGGGTTGGTAGAGCGCTTTGCACGCGAACTCCAGCCCTCCTCCGACTGGCACATCTATCTGACAGCGCGGAACGAGAAGTTGGGTCTGAAGGCTGTTAAGTCACTTGAGGAGAAGGGTCTCTCCGTTAAGTTCCACCAACTAGACATCACTGATTCGGCGAGTCGCAGGCGTTTGGCGCATTTCATGGAGAAGAACTACCCAGAGGGGATACACATCCTTGTCAACAATGCCGGCATCCTCAATGATGTGAGATATTGGAATGAGGCTTTTTCAGCGCCTTTCAGTTAGTCAAATAAGTTTGCGCTACTCTCGTAATAAAGATTTAGCATTTGCGAATAACACTTTAAGATATTTTAGTCATTGAGGTAGTCACTTTTCCAGCGAGGCATTAGCCTGTGAATCCCACTTCCAAACATTGTTTGATCCCATCCCACCTACAGTTCTATCCTGCTTTTATTTCCCAACTCTGCCCTCTTTCGTGCGTGATTGTGATACCAAAAAAGGCACGGTCACTTTGAGTTTAGGGAGCGTGGAGAAAGAGGAACAGGCAGTACCTCTCCGAATAAGCCAACTTCTACAATTAATATGCAAGGAATTTGAGGTGGAGCTAGCTTTTACGACTTCGGAACTTAGTTGGACTCTAGTCATGGAGCTGACAAGCTCGAATGACTTCCGCCAGGTTCAAATGGTACTTTGTACGATGAGGCTTTAAGTTGAGAGGAGGAGGAGGTAGGAAAATACTAGTGTTTTGTATCGACACCCACAAACAATCGGATCCATTTGACAGGTCTTAACAAGTTACAAGTCACTATAGTGACCTGCTTTGATAAGTAAATGCAGTTTTGGTGACCTGGAGCACACACAGCTGAGGAAGGTTTATTTATTCCTCATTTAGAGTGGTCCTTCCTCTACATATGGTGATCGGGCAAAGGCCACCATGTTGGTTAACTACACAGGCAACGTGGACATGTGCAAGGAGTTTCTTCCTCTTATGGCAACTGACTCAAGGTAGCAGCAGAAGTTTGTGGCTTTGACTTGCGTATACTTTTCCTTCCAGGCTGGTGAACATGTGCACTGGTGATCTTGTGTGGGCATTCCAGGGCATAAGTAAGGAACTCTCGGACCGTTTCAGGCGTCCAATGACTTTGGAGGAACTTGATGAGATTATGGCGTCTTTTGTGAGGTAATCCTTCTCCCACCGACCAAAGAAATGCTCACCCATATATCTTGCTGATGAAATGTCCTTGTATAAGCTGATCAAATCGTGTCACTTAGTCACGCACAAAAGGGGGACCACAGAAAGGCCGGTTTCGTCCAATCAGCCTACGGCGTTTCGAAATTGGGCTTCTACAAAGCCACTGTCATTCTGGCCGAACAGATGAAATCAGACCCCCGGCACATTCTCATCAACTGCGTAAGTCTCCCTCAGCATGTCAGCTTATCTTTGTTAGTTTTCTAACAGTCGTTGAAGCTTACATCGATGAAATTGCTCTTTACTGTTTAAAGTAGATGAAGTCGGTAAGCTTGTTTCTTTAAATTAACTGAAGCGCGATTGTAGGCTTACTCGGTTCCTGAGGGGGGAAGGCTTTATTTATTTATAAGGAACAAGTAAGGACTTGGAATTTAAATTAATGTTTGCTTCAGGATACTTTATTTACTCGTATAGCCGCAAATGTAGCACTAATTCCACATTATCGCCACATAACAACCATATTTGCCCCAAAGCCCTTTCGAACATTCAACTTCCAGTGGTGTTTATTCACTCCTCTTACGACTAGTTTCGAACTTTCTAGCTCATCTATCGACAAAGTAGTCACCACCACCAACGTGATTCGAAGTTGTTGTCTTGGCGCCTCTTTTAACTGCAACGGGGTGTCATTCTGGATTGGTGTAATTCATAAGTTTGTTTTTTTTGACGTCCTAACGTCAGCGTCATAACTCATGCCACACTGCAAGAGCAGCTAGGTTATCAGTTCGGTGGCTTTTCACACGCCACCGAGTACTCCTCCTCCTCCTCCTTCCGACTTCATCGTCTTCACCAGAAATACAAAACTGGGTTGAAATTCTGGACACCCTTCATTGTTCCAGTTTTTTACATTTTTGAGTGGTCTGATCCTTCCTCGTCCTCGTGTCCTCATGTTTTTCGTTTCTATTTTGAGTTAACCGAAAATATTAGAGGCTTCGCCCTAGATGCCCATTTTGTGAATTTAGCTGCTTCATTCACCCAATCTGCTTAATATTATTTTATATCGCCAGTTGAGGAATCACTGTGGTGCTTCAATATAATAACTGTTTTTCTGATTTAAATTAAATGACCGCAATGAGAGCGACACATCCCAGAAATGAGTAACCTTGTATATGGCATGTTGGTTTACTGAATAGTAATAAGTAGAATGTACAAATGCTAGTGGTGTTCGGTTTTGGTGATCCATTGCGTAGATGACGCAGCAACTTATTTTAATGAGCATTGGTTAAAGGCAGGTAAGAAAACTAGGCCATTTAATCTTAAATCTCATTAGTTAATTCATCCGAAATTCAATTCACTTGCTTTACAGTGATCGCAATGGTGACAGACTTAAAAATCTAATGTAAAAGATGGCTGAGGTCGTTTCTTGTGTTTTGATCATTTAAAAATGCTCGAACGATGTTGGAACTAAGCTTATGCTAGCAAGAAGGTGGGCATAATTTCCTATCCGTTGGTCTGCTGCCCGAATCAAATGTGGTTCCTCACTACTTTCTGACTCCTCACAATTCTCATTCACAAATCGAATGTTATGCGTGGTTAAAACAAATTGCCCGGTTTTAGGATGCATAGATGATAAATGAGCAATCACCAGGTCTCACTGATTTATAAAAATATGAAAATAACTCCTTTATGCATCTCCTAAGGCCAATTTATCCATCTTCTCTTTAAAGTTCGTCTGCGAAACAGCGGAGAATTACTGCCCCAAATAATAACGAATTATGAGGTACGACAAGGCAAAATGGAGTATTGGAGGATCTTTAAAAGACATTTTCTGTTGTTATTATGGTTAGAGCTTATCATAAAGTGGGCATAACCGTTAACCATCATGTGGTTGGTTGACACTTTCTAGTGTACCGAAGTAGTTTCCACTGTTTTACAAATTTTCTGTATATTTTAGTGCTGTCCAGGGTATGTGAAGACTGATATGACAGGTTATTGTGGCAACAAGACAATTCCTGAGGGTTAGTTGCACTCCTTTTGCCGTTCGCTTCTTGTCCTCTCCAGTTTGACTTACCCTCCGTCTTCCCTTAATCCCAGCCCTCTGCACAAATCCTGCTTGAACAGGTACACCCGATCTGTAGCCACAGAAACAAACACTGCATCATGAAAAAAGAACTCTATTGGTGGCTGAAATCAGTAGAAATAGAAGGTGAAAAAGTAACAAGACACGTGACATTGGCGGGTTGTGAATGTGGGGCTTTTTAAACATACACAGATGTAGATGTTTGTGTAAAGTTTCAATTTCAGCACGTTTCTGTAGAAGTCACAGATAAAATTCAATTCAAAAATGATAGTTTTAAACCTTTCATTGAACGGGTTTGAAGTGGCCAAGGTCAGCGCTGAAGTGGTGAAAAAGATGGCAGGTATGGGGAGAAATGATTTAGTCGTCCTTTCTCAGATCAGGCTAGAGGCGAGCTCTTATTTTGGGAGAAGTCGCTTCCCTTTTTAAGGTCAAAATCATCTCGACTCTTTATCACCAATGAAGGCGTTCCGTCATGCCTTTTTTTATTGTGTTAATCAGTAGTGACTGTGTTTCTTGCATGGGTCGAAGGGAATTCACAAACTATCGTAAGTTGTCTTTACGACTCTGAGGCTACCTTTTGACTGTTAAAAGTTTTCGCTCAGAGGTGAAATTTTACCTCTGTTCGACTTGATTATCTCCGTTCAAATTGGGATTTACTTCAGCTACCACTAATTATTGATGACTTTAGGTAGTCGCGTTTACTGACTAAAGTTTAGGTAGTATATGTGTACAGTCTTTTCACTTTTTTTAGGTGTTGACACACCCTTCTACTTGGCCACTCTTCCGGTGGGCTGCACAGAGCCCTACGGTGAATTCATCAGCGAGCGCAAAGTGGTCGACCTCGATCAACCCTTCTACTTCTAGTTCACTTCAAAGCCATCAGCTAGCCTCCCTTCATGCATCCTGACTTCACTGATTAAATGTGCTACCGAGTTGCCTCCTTTTTACTCACCAAAAGCTGCTGATATAATATTTATCAATTTACTAAAGCGGGGTTTTTGTTTTCGTCCTAGCCCCATCGAATTGGATACTTTTTGGACGTAATCACCACATCGTTTATTCCACGTGAAGGAGACCTCTCCTTCATTTCTTTTAATGAAAGAGCTTTACAGCAATACTTTTCCATCTATTTATTATTAGTTTGGGCAGTCTGTCTACTCTTGGTGATATTAGAAATTTCATCTTGAAGGCCCCCCAGCATTGGTGCCCTCTTTGTGGCTTCTCAACCAACTATCGTCTGAATGTTGATGTGAAGGGTAGGGGACTGCTTTCTACTATCACGTCACTGATTTTGGTATTCTTGGGGTTCAAAAAAGTGTTGCTTTGAGTGTGGTTGAAGTATCATTAAGGTTCAAAGTGGACTTTTGTCGTCAAAATGATCGTGTTAGATTTGGGAGGAATCTACCATGAGGGAGGTAAATGAATTGTCTCTGTGCTCAAGTTTCGCCCCTTTTGTCGGACTGGCCACAACGGAGCCTTGGAGGGTGCTGGCACCTCTGACATTTGAGTTGAGGAAGAAGACTCCCGTTTTTTGTTTTCCGTCTTAGGTAACCTTAGTACAATCACGGTTACCTCAAAAAGACAAATTTGTGTGCCAATAGAGCTTCCTTGGGGTATCCAATGTCCCAGTGCGGAAGGCTTAAAACTGTAGCTAAGCTGCGGATGTTGAGAGCATTTGGTAACTCGCATCTTTGAGCTTACGAGGTGGTCTCTTCAGTGGGAAATCTGTGGGCAATAGGGTTCCTGATGCCTGTCAATAGTCATGGTGTTTAGTTTCCGGAGATCAAACTAGCGGTTATCATTTTACCACATCAGTTTTCTCAATTTTTCAAGCCTGTTCACGTTGTCTATGGTCCCTTTTTAGGCTCTTAATAAGGTTTGATATGTTGAATAAATGTGAAGAGTTTTCGAGGGAAGATGAGGCGACTGTTTTTAATTACTTTCTTTCCATGAAACGCCAGGTGAATGATGCTTCTGTCCCAGTTAATCCAAACTTCCTTCATGTCGCCGCGTACGGTTGTAGTCTTCTTAGCAACCTACAGTTCTTGGCACAAGTTACTTTGCTTATTTAGGTTCACTGATCCTCATTCCTTCATATTGTTAATGTCTAGAGCTCTAAATTACTCAAACCCACAGGACCTCTGAGATGTTTTTGTTTCAAGGCCATCTGGCCTGATGAAGTTGTTGTTGCGAATGGCTCTGTGGAGCCGTAGCTCGCTTCCTTGTTTGAGCAATCATGCTAAAAACGGTTTTGACGATGCTACAAAATTTTGCGCTTAGGTGTGCACCAGCCGCCATTGTATTCTACCTAGGGACGAATAGTCTTCAGCTCTAATACATAAATGAAGTCTCAAAATGTAGAAGGCTTTTCAAGTTTGGTATATTGACACTCACCAAATAAGTGTCTTGAACTGCTGAAATAATCATAGTAAAGGTCATTTCGCCACATTCCTAGGCCTTGTTCAGTACAAATCTCGGATGATTTGGTGAAAAGTCCTCAAAATGATGTCTTGTAATTGATATCTATAACAAATGAAACGCCATTAAATATCGGCTGTGAATATTTGAAGGGAATCCACCTTTTGCAAACTAATAGGTGTTCATATTTCAGTTAAGTTCGTGGTAATTCTTTCCGCAGCCACATCCACGGCAGGACTAAATGCGTTACATGCAGGCAGCTAAAGTCAACAGAAGCCTTAAACCTGAGCAATGCATACATCGAAGGTCCATTTTTAAATGTAGGAGTCACCTCCAAAATGCTTCACTGACAATACTTCTCTGGAAAGACCCAATCACTTGTCAGTGGAGTTGCCAAGTTGCGCCCGCGATGCTGATTAGCTGGAGGACTTTTTATGCAAGGATGGAGTATAGCCCGATCGCTTTTGTCAGAGGACGTGTTTGCCAGGCTAGACGAGGTGATTACACCGAAACTCTTTGAGACAGCTCAACTACTATTTGAAAAGTGACGGATCTAGACAAAGAATGCATGTCTCAATTTGACCCATCGAACTTGCCATTTTGGATGACTGACTCACTTTAGGCACAATCTCCCTAAGGTAGAAGTCTCCCACGGATGCTTAAAACAAGATCGCATGTGACAGTTTATATGGCTCAAAAAATAGTTAAAGAGTTGAAATGGCCTTGCACTTTTTAGTCTGTGGAATTGACTCGGTAATTTTAGTAGCCAAGATGACGTGGTTTTCTATAGGGTAGCAATATTTCAAAAGCACCAAGTCAAGTTTTTAGGAAAATTGGCTGTTCTGTGGAGCCGCGAGACTATCTTAAAGAAGGAAACAGGCATAATACTCGGGCGGAATATGTAGTAGCGAGGTAGAGAAGAATTGGGAGAGGCTACTGTCACTCAGCTCAGTGGGGGTGCAATGGCTGAGCCCTTCTGTGGTCCCTTACCCAAACCGAGGCTTATAAGATTAACCAAGATTTACTAATCTAATTGGTATCTAATTTCCACGCTTTCATCATTCAGTAAGCTTCATTTCAAATTCTGTTTCCAGCCTCGGGAAACATTCGACCACCAGTTGAACTGCTTTTTTAGCTTCCCAAAGGCTATTTTTCTGTACGAAATTGTCGGTTAAAAAACTCACTCTGGAATAGCTCTTCTCTCTTGGGTAAAAGGGGAAGAGAAGCGTGAAGGGACCTCTCTCTCTCTCACGAAAAGTGGTTCCATTGAAAGCTAAAGCCTCTCGTAATGGCAAACTCAGCCGAAAATAGACTTGAACTTTGGATTTCTCTCTTTAAAAATGAGGCAAAGTAATAATTCACTGACGGAAAAAGACAATCACCGCGATGTTATTTCCGGCTGTGTGAAAAATGCATTTAATTCCAGTCATCTTGTCCAAAAAATAACAACCAAGTAAAGTGACCATAAACGTTGTTTTATGATAAAATACAAAATATTGATGCAATTCGTCCATTGGAGATGTATCATAAGGCAACCTACATCCTTCAATCCACTGATTTGCAACGTCTGGGGGGAGAGAAGGAAAGCTAACTTTTGATCGAGTCGTTTTCATTTAAAGGCACTGGTTGGGACAACATTGTATCAGGTGGAGCGGTGGCTTCTGGTCTCATCTGATGTTCGCCTCCTCCCTCCAGGTGCACCAATTTCCTCCTTCTTCTCAACTTGCCCGAGATCCGCAGGGACATGAAGAGGCAGAGAGCGAAGGAAAGTGTAAGTACGAGGGCGAGAATGGGCAGGAAGATGGAGATAAAGGAGGGAGAGCTGGTGCCAGACACTGTCGTCAGCGACGTCAGGGTGGTCGCAGTCCAGATCTTCCGAGGCCGATAAGTTCGAGCCAACTTGAGGGCATAGTTGTGCCGACAGACGTGTTCATCAGAGCACACACCTGGTCGGCACTTGCCGAGAACGACAGAATTTGTTGCCTGAGAGGAGTTCCACCAACTCTCAAAGGTTACAATTCCGCCATGAGATGGTGGACCAGGAAGAATCCGAAGAACACTGATGTCAGATCTTTGGGTGCACTGTGTGCAGATGAATTGAAGAGGACGTCCTAGGCAGCCAATCAGTCGAACGCTCTTAAATGAAGGCCCAAAGGTGATGAATCGGTCGAATGTAGAGCCACAGCTCAGAACGAGACTTTCCAGTTTAGGCAGTCCTGCCAAACTACAGCCTTCAAGAGCTATCGGAGCTCTCCACGCATGAAAAGTCTTCAAATCTGGCAGACCAGCGAACGCCAAAGCATCAAGCAGTTTTGCTTGAAGCGGGAGATTTAACTGAAGTTTGACAACCCTACCACCGAATTGAAGTTGGCTCAAACCATAAGGTTCTATGGCCATGCCGAGAACTCCTGCTTCTTCTCGGACAGCTGTTACAGTACTAGAGTCACCTATTCGGACAATATCCCCCATACGTTCGCAAAGTACTAGTCGGAACACCGATCGTGGAAGCTCAGTTATGTTCGAAGCGCATCGGAGGGCTACAACCATTCCAGAGCGTCGGTAGCCGCAGTAGCAGTTGGCCTCTGTGTAAACGATGGTACAGAAAGCGGTGGCGATTGCCAGGCAGTAGCCTGGATTATTCAGCAGAGTGATGGACATTATAGGAGGAGAAGGAGAAGCAGGAGCATTGTAGGTTAAGTTGAGGTGCTGTTTTGTAAATAGGCCATGTGGTCAGTGGACCACATATACAAATGACTCTCGCGAGGTTGGAATCGGCGCCTACCAATCACAGCTGGGTGATGGGGCTTGCTCTCTGACCAACCCGGAGGCAGAGCCAATCAACCGACCGGATACAGAGGTGGCTGGCTGTGCATGTATATGCGTTGTGAAGTGGATGGGGTAGAGGTGGGGTGGGAGGAGTGGGACCAAAAATAATGGGCCATTGCCTCCTTGTCTCCTCTTGATTGCTTAACCCATGGTTTCAAGCAGCGATCAACAGCAATGCTGACTTTATAATGACGTCTTGTTAGCCCAACAGGCTAGATCAGATAATTTCATTCAAGTGTATTTTTGGTGGAGTCAATAATTCACAAGACATCAGAAGTTCCGATAAATCTTGTGAAATTCTAGGAGTGATTAATTTTTGTCATAAAATGTAGTTGTGTTAAGTAAAATTGAAGTGGTCAAGTCGACGTTAATAATCAAGTGATGATTATTTTGGAGTAGAAGCCAACCACAAATTTTAGCCACATGCACACGAGACTGGTTCAAGGCATACTACCTACGTGTCAATTTAAGTAATTTTTCAATATAATAAATGTGAGTGACGCTTACTATCTTCTCTGGAAGTGTGTTACTTACCTTCGAGAGGAGAACTTCGTCCTATTCCCATGGAAGGCAGTTGTTTTTTTAGCCAGGTAAACCACGAATAGTTGATGAAGCCTCTGCTAATGCGACAGAGGTCTTCTGGATACATACGTTTTTTTTTCGGCAGCTCCTCTGTGACATGCCTGCTGGCCACTTTCCTGCCTCATTGATAAGGTCACGTAGCTGCGTAAAAAGGTGGTGCTGGGAAATATGACCCCGAGAAGGAAAAGTGGCCTTAGATTCCTTCTGTTAGCTAATGAAATGCTATTCCTCCTTTGTTGGAATTAACATTATCCGGCCACAGGTGGCGGAGCATCTGAGTCACTCTGAAGGGCGGCATCAGGGGGGCGGACCTGAGTTTACTGAAAAACTGTTAGAATAGATAGTATGCCATCAATATGGTTACCTCACTTGACGCAAAACCTTAGCCTTTATCATAGCTTCATATACTGATCCAACGACCACCATTATCTCACACTTGATTTCTTGGGACGCCGGCTTTGCATAAATTAAAAATGGTATTTTTTCGTATGCTCTACAATCATGCGTATTTGAGGTGTGTAATAATCTCCAATTTCTTTTGTCATTTCTCACTCGGACTGTCATAAATTATAAAATCACTTTTGCAGCTTATTTTGATTCCATGTAACGCTAAATTTTTGAAGTTTCTGGCAAATTTAAACCATGTTCTTGAGTAGCATAAAATCTTACATAAGTTGAAATAATCAAAATGAAATAAGAAAAATATTTAATTTGGCCTCGGCTGAAATTGTTTAAGCGGACCACTTAACCAGTCCTCTACTAACTACCGGAGGATAGGTGGGTGTTTTTGGTTTGGTTGCATGAGCCTGTGGGTCTTGAATATTCGCCAGTACTTTTTGATTCAGAAATCTAGAGGATGATTAAGAACTTTTGTTGTTTCGCTAACATTATGGGAGCAAATCTGCCTTGTAGTCAAAGCAAGAATAATCTAACTCTAGACCACGCAGTGTCTCTATGGCAGACGATTACTCTCTCACGGCTTATTAGTCAGCATAGCTGCTCTGTAATCTACCTACATACCACAATCGTGGCTTATGAACCTGGATGAGCGATGAGCTATACTGCTATACGCCTTGAACACTCAAGGAGTGAGATGCGTCAAAGTACCTTGCTATGGGTCGTAGGGAGCTAGAGTGTAGTGAGAAGGTTGAAAAACAGGGGCATGCCCAGGCAACAGAGTGGAATCTGATTTATTACTCCTTACCTCGTCAAGTCACTGCAAATGCAGCTATCTAAAGCATATATATGTCGTTCAGAGTAATTAACCAGGCCTCTTAGGAGCTGGCCTTCTTTGGATCATCAATGAAAGTGACTATTCTTTACATCCATCAACTGTAGTGTCTGACTTGCCATCGCAGAAGTTCTAGGCCATGAGTCTGGCAAATGACTTTGCTGCAAACTTGTAGAGAAGCTGGCAGTCTAGTTAGCATCCCCCTTTGATCTCCATGGCGTCAGCGTGGAGGTAGAAGAAGGCCTATGCACCTTTATGCACACTCTGAGCAGATAGTACGGTACCGCAGCCAAACATGTTCTCGCGGGACTTGCAGCCAGAATAAACACCATTACGTTCACCCAATGGGCACCTGAATCGGCATCCAATATGCATGAAGTGTTCCCATGAAATGATCATAGTTTACGTCAATTTTAGAAAAAAAGTATCACTTTGACCGTGTTTGAAATTTCTCACCTGCAACCTGTGAATGCTAGCAAATCGATTGTCATACTAGTTTCATTGGCAACATTAATTAAACAGGAGTTTGATTTTGAAATCACAATACAAGAGGTAAATAAAATGGCATGCTGATTTATTTTTGTAAAGCTTAGCAGAATTTCTGATACTCACGTAGTAAATAAGTTGGACTGCAAGAGACGACACTCATTTCTGCAATCAACGACCCTCATTCACACAGCAAGCTGCTCAAAATCGCGAGTCAACCATTTTGTCACTGGTCAATCCAAGGTTATTGGGACCAATTTGATCGTTTGACTGACACGATCTTTCTTGCCTTGGTTATATAGTTTTGTAACATAAAGAAGTAAATTAAAGAAACTAGTGCTTAAGTCTTCCCTCTTGTAAAAACCCAAAGTAGTATGGAAGAACGTAGAGTAGAGATAGGAGGCTATCGAGGCTGCTTAAAGCCCATACAGCAAGGTGGGATGGCAACTTATAGAGACTGAACAGCCTACGCAGATAAGCACAGTGTGGCTTCCAAATTCCTCCAGTTGTCGTCTCTGGTAGTCCTCCTCATCATTTGTTTGTACAGGTCATCACATTAGGAGTCTCTCTCGTTCTGCGGGTGTCTGGGATGTGTTTTTTGAGGCTTGGCAATCAGCCAACCGTCCACCAGTGCATCACTTTAAATCTCCCTGCAACTCTCCTTGGGAGAGCTGCAAGGTCGTTTGCATTGCTCAAAGATTACGTCCCAGAGTGAAGGTACAGCTTACAGAGGCTGAAATTAGACAACCATTTAAACAAAGCATTAAACCGCTATGACCTGATTGGAATTAAATTTGGGTGAAGATGTTGAGCTAACAGCTGTAATTCATTGCAGCTAGTAACCAAAACTTGTGCACACAACTTATTGCAACTGCGTCCAAGGTCTGTTACAGAGGTATGGGAGGATTTTAAGCAGGAAAGTATCTCGCCAACATCTGAATCCCTATTCTAGAGTAACAGTGCCTGCGAACACAACCTCTTAGACCACTGTACAACTCTACTAAACCGATTTTTTGTGTAGATTAAAAGTTAGGAAAACCAGCATCTAGGTGGCAGGGATGTCTATTTTATACTGATAAATTGCCGGTGGCTTTCCTTTCTGCTATGCCAATTTGCCACTTGAGGGATGACTGGGGTCGCCAAGTAACTACGGCTCCTTTTAAATTGCAGCCTGGGGCCTAAAGCACAAGCGCCTTAGACAGCTTTATTGGGAGTCTTGCAGATGAACTTGACAAATGGAAGTTTGAACAGCATAAAAGGAGACTGTAAAACATTTTGGATCAAGCGGAGTGGATGAAACAGTTCCCTTGATGACGTGGTTGAATTTGACTCAGTGTGGAAGGTTTTGATAAGGCTGTTCGAATTGGTTTAGGGAAAAGGAAATAAAGAGGAAACTTCAAGGATTTTGAGGCCTCATTGTAGAAATACACGCAGACGTCATGATTTGGGCATTAGATGTTATGTCGAATCAACTTTTTGGGATTTTTTAATGCCAAAAATGTTATGACAAGTTTGAGAAAACAATCATGTACCTTTCAGGAATGCTAAATTCATGTTATGTTTAGGAAGAAAAATGGAAATTAGCCGTACATGTAGACTATTTCGAAATCACTATAAGCTGATTTGCTTCTTTTAACCTGACTACTTTACCCCAGTTTTGCCTTACCAAAAGCGCTGGCTTACTTCTTGGTTTTCATATTGTAGGGCTTCATCAGCATTGCTCTAGAACGACCGACACTAGAGTCTCGAAGGAGACTCTACTTCCAGTGTCCAGGTGTGTCTAGATTCTATTTCATAGCAGGCTGTTCAAAATCGAAACGTATTATTTTCCTCAGACCTATTTTACCGCTTTAATGTCAACCACTTCACTTATGGCGCAAGATCTTGTGTAAATGTGACACTGGAAGCGCAGATAACAATGAAAACAAGGAATTTCTCTTTTAAATGAAATAAAAATGGCATATTTTAATTTAATTTCCATTAGGAAATGAGGTTGTATATGTAGTGCTGGGACTTTTCCAAAGATGAAAGAAGACAATGCTAGGACAGAAGATGTATTACCGAAGTACAGAAGAGCTGGTGGGTACTGACGTGGCCCGGCCGCCAAATCCCAGCGGATGCACACAGGCAGACCCTTAAGTGCCCTTGAAACCGAAGCTATGAGTTAAACAAACAAGGCATTACACTTGATTCCTTTCCTTTAAAGCTTCATTCCCGACGCAACTCATGGTCAACCTCATTTGCCGGTCGTCACAACGTAATCGGTGCTGTAAAACACGCCCATGAACCCACCCGCCAGTCATCGAGAATGCTTGCAACTTAAACGATATTTGATCACAACGTTACTGATGCCTCTTGGCATTCTAATGGATCAGAAGTTTTGCTCTGCTTGAAACTGTTTTGGGGGAAGGGTGGCGTGTCGGCCGGCTTGGTATATTCGCCTCTTGTCACAAGAACACTTGACTGGAATCAGAGCCACATAACAATGGACGGAGTTTAGCTTGATCTCACATCTGTTTGTCCCTGTCACTTT